GAGTGGGAATGGGCACAGACCTCTTGGGTGTGCGAGGGAGTGACAGATTTGGCAGGCAAAAAGTGCCGTCAATGGTTCCACAACCGTCGAGGCTGGTTGGGTAAGAGAGTGTGCTCAAGTAGCTTCTGAGATCAGTCCATGTCTTCGCGTCATTTGTGGGACTGGTTGCGAGAATATTGAAGCGGGGGACTGATAAACCTCCCGTTGTAGAGACTCGATCCTGGGTAGCCTCACAATGGCACATATTGCAACATAGGTCGAGTCTACAGTATCATGCATGTAACACGACACTTGCGCGATAAACGCGACGTTCGCACGACGCGCGCGACTTAGGCGACACTTCCGCGACTTGCGCGCGCTTTAGGCGAATTTTCCCGCGCCTAAGCGCTATAGGGCGCCTGACTTCCCACTGTGTTTTCCCATGTCCAACCAAGTTCCCAGGTATGCATTTCTCCATTTATCATTTATTTCAACATCGTACCATGTTTATTTTCACTTGGTACACATTTTTCATTACACATTTTTTACTGGACACAACACACATTACCACTGACCACCATCATCATAGACAGTCACCATCTCCGAGTTTTTATTATGTTTTGAATAAATCATCGCAAGCCCTAGTAGCAGTTAGCTCTAGTGGCCATATCCGCATCAGTTGTCTTATCAGCATCTCAGTACACGTCTTAACATCTCACTATCGCTCGCATACCGCTTTCACCCAGTTCCGCTTTTCGATGCACGACTTTCCCGCGCTTCGCGCGCCTATAGCGCCTTTGTTCCCGCGCTTTCGCCTTATCACGCGCTTTGCGCATTCCCCCTAGAGTTGACCAGTGGATATTTGCTTTCTCCGCTTCCCCTAAGGGACGAACATATCGCACTCATATTTTCCTCCCTTCAACAATTATATCAGCTGCACCCTCAGCTGAGTTGAAGATCCTTCACCGTTATTTTGAAATTGAGGAGGCTCGACGTGGCATGATGAGATTAGGTCTTGGGTTGCCTTGAACTCATCATCGAGTAGGCGGCATGACAAGAAGAGTTTTCCTATGTGGTAGCAGGTCTCATCTTGGTTCCAGGTATCAGTGATGGCTTGTAGGATGGTAGATTCATCTAGAGTTGTGAAACTGGTTAGGCCGAAGAGGAGTTCTGGGGGGGTGCGTGCAATTGAAGGGAAGGGCTTCGAAAGTCAGGTCGGTTGTGGATCATACTCATTGGGTTAGGAGTAGGTCTTCGACTTCTTTGGTCACACTATGGACTAAGAACCCGATTGGGAAGTTCTTTGCTCCTTTGCCACCTTGTGGTTGCGGGGGGGGGAGACGCAAATGGGGGGGGTGTCGTGGTGAATGGACTCCGCTATGGTAGTGATGTTTGCGCGAACTCGTTCCACTATGATGGTGGCTCGCTCCGCTACTTTTTTTTCTTGAATGATTGAAAATTCTCACCATGAGTTTTGGGTGTGCAACCTGGAACCAGGCGAGTAGGATTCTATTTTTTAGGTGGTCAAAAATTTGCGCTGAGTGCGACATGTGCACCATTGGGAAGCCACCGGTTGGAGCTGGGGTGAATTGGGGGAGTGTAGTGCTATTGATCGTGCCATGTTGACTTAGCACAGATCTATTCATGTCTGTGAGCGCTAGATGCTCCAGAATGGCCTGTTCTTCATAGATATACTCTAAATATGAATATGAACAAACACCCTACACTTCTTGAGGTCCGGTCCTACAGGAAATTTTTTTACAGGGGGGTAAACCACCAGGAGAGGGGGAGTACACTACACAATAATCTCTGGTCCTGTGGTAATGAGCTCCTCACACATTATTCTTAATATTGAATAGATGCTGGGAGTGATTTTTCCAGGTATATCCACCTGGAAATAAATAAATGACAACATATTTTGTGTTTTCCTGTATATATACCATATCTATTGATGTAGGGCGCTTCAGGGGGTCAAATAAAGATGGCAATCTCTTCATATATACTCTTAAATATGGTCTAAATATCCTAGAACACTTCCCTATTAAAAGGGCAAAAGTGCGAAAGTGTTTCATACACTAACCTATTTTGAATGGCCCCTGGAGGAGGAGGAGATAAACAAATGAGAAAAAAAGCGGTCGATTATATTATATTATACATATATATACTAAACTACTACTTAGATACAGGGGGAGACCTATTGTGGTGTAGTGGTGAAGCTGCAGTAAGGTGGGGAGGGTGTGGGAATAATTGATATTGTGGAGATCCCCAAAATGGGTGATGTTTTTGGTGTTGTGGGGAAATTCCCACAGTAGGTGGCCCAAAATGTGGAGCTATGAAGTGTGAGAATATTGTGGGGGGGTAGGTGGCCAAAAATGCGAAAATATGCTGGGAATAATGTATACAGAAGCCACTGCTGGGATCCACCCAAGGATACATCAACCTAGATAGTGCTACAGTGGATAGCTAAACTGAATGATGTATCAGGGTTTTTGGCTAATAAGCCAGTTTGGATATATCAATATGACAGTATGGACTGATGGCTGACCCTTCAAACGAAGTCTGTACCGACTTTAACGGAGACGTGTACACTAATATCTGTGATGATATTCGCCAAGCAACCGCAGAAATCCAAGAAGCTGTTGTCCAACACTTAACTCAGTCCTGGATGGTAGGCCACAACCAGAGGGTTGATGAATGGCACCAGAATAGAGAACGAGAGTTGGCAGACGCAGCAGAAGCTGACCAAGCTCGTGCTGCCCAAGAAGATGTTGAAGTACGGGCACAACAAGAAGCTGAAGCAGAGAAAGAGAAAGCCGAATCCGAGAAGAAGAAACCCAAAATGAATGGTTTTCAATGACAAGGCATCAGTAGGAGATTCCATATCCCCTTGTCCCTCTCAGTACGCAATCCAGAAGCTCAAAAATTTCATCAGCAAACCACCCGTTTTGGATACAAGATTCCCACAGCAACACAACTGGCACAGCCCCACAGCAGTACAGCGCACAGAGCACACAGGGCTACAGTGTGATACAGTCTCGCACAGTGCACAGGGTCATACTGCTCAGCGATGTAAATTCACAAATAAATCAATGCTTGCTCGGATTTATTCACATAGAGAGTACTACACCCAGTGACACTCGGAGAATATGTTTAACAGCTCCATATTCATTCAACTTGAATCAAGTACTTCGACACTAGTACTCAGGCTAAAACATACAAGGACTCCCCTTCGGTCGGCTCTACGACAATATATTGTGTTTACAGTAGCAACTCAGGAAATACTATATTGGCATCGTCTCTGCAAATAGAGAGTGTATCTTCACGTTCTCACTTTCAACAACGCTGCGCACAATTGACTGTGAGCGAAGGGATCAGTCCAGAGGTTGAGCACAGTTTGCATTAGCGTCAAACCTTACCATTAAATGTTGTTGCATATGTGGGTCACAGAGGAAACTGTTTTCAATTCACCATCCACGACAAACAGTTTGTATGGAATTCGGGGGATGCAGTGGCTTTCAAATATATTGAGAAGTTGGACTTAGGTTGAGGAAGCAACGATGCAGCACGAACGACGCACATGCGTGCATTTCTGAGCAATGCCATTTCTACTGAGAGGTTACATACGCCAGGATGGGTTGATAGTCGATTGTGTGTTCTGGTACATTCAATCGAGTCTGCTCGTGTATGTACAAATCATTTACATTTGTAGACATATAACCGCTTATCCATTGTCAAACAGACACAGATCCTAATAGCGCATACTCATCAGCCACTGCATGGTAATTTTTAGAATAATTTTGTTTACCTGATTTGATGCATGCAGGATGAGGAGACGAAAGTGAGCGTTCCGAGCAGACAAACCCACACCTCATCAAGTGAGCACACGTGCGCCCTACATGAGCTTCCGCATCTCCAAATTTTCTCTTCACCTTCTTTGCTTGAAGAAGTAGATGGTGTTTGCGCATGCGAAATTGATAAAGAACTCGCTCAGCAAGGTCCTTCTCGAGGCGTCGAACTTCGAGATTGGCTCATGCCATCTCGAGCAAGTACACAGCTTCTTCTGAAGTCTCCAGCATCAATGTAGTATGAGTGCTGAATTGCCAGACCTGTGAATTATGGTGTTTGTGCTGTAGAAAGTTCTAGTTCAAGGCAAGTGTTAGAATCAAACTCATTACTCACCATATTATGTACTTCCGAGTATTCAGACATATCATCTGGAATGTCGGAGCCTAGATCTACAGAGAGAGTCGTATAACTTGAAGTTTTTTGGCCTCTGAATGTCGAAGGTGAGAAAATAGATGACCGGGATGATTGTGATGATGATGCATAGCTTGAACGATACTTTGAAATTGTAGTTATGGTTCACGTTGTGCCGGAAATTACCGATAAGCCATTCGACCCAAATTGAATTGGACCGTGACTTACTTCACATCTTCAATATGTGTTGCCCATCCTGTGGCAAGCGCCTTAAAAACGAGGGACAGTTTCTACAACATCTTAATCAGCCTTCTTCCTGCTGTTACAAGTGGGATGGTACTAACCTGGTTTGCATCTCGAGGCCAGCACGAGTTCCAAGTCCTCTTGACGAAGATATGGATTTGACCTTGGACCCGGAGTTTAGTATGGAGCATGTATTTGATGCAAACATTGAAGTGGAGGGTGGTTTTACAGGCAGATTACAGTGAAGAAGTGGAGGTTTTTGACGGCGCAGGCAAGACATGGGGTATTGGACAGACCTTCATGGACCAGTTCAGTGAGGATGAATATGCTATGGAGAGGAAGGAAAACTGATACTGGCCTTTTGCTAGCGAACCAGACTGGGAGATGGCATCGTTTCTTCTCTGGTCTAATCTTAGCATGGCCGATATTGATGACTACCTTAATCTTGAATTTGTGAGTTCTTTTGTCTAAATTACTCGGTCTGAACTTACTAGTATGTTCAGACCAAAACACTGCCATTGTCGTTTCGGTCTTCGAGAGAACTCCAAGGACACTCTGAATTGCTCCCAGCACCGCCTTGATGGAAGTATGAAACAGTTACGACTGAGTTTCCAACAACAAAGATCCTCCGAATATTTTATCGGGACACAATTGAGTGCTTACAATCACTTCTCAGCCACCCACTGTTGGCTACCAGCTTTGATTTCATCCCTCGCAAAGTTTACGAGTCTGCTGAATGTGCTGTCCGAGTGTATCATGGATTTATGACAGGTGACCATGCTTGGAACCTTCAGGTAAGGTCTCATGTTTCAATTCTTTGGTCCGCATGGCTAACAGGATCACAGAAAGACCTATCTGAAGGTGCATCACTCCTTGGTGTAGTCCTCTCCTCGGACAAGACCAAGGTCAGCAACATCGCTGGTAACCGTTATGCACATCCACTTCTCATTAGTCTCGCCAATATCAATCCCAGTGTGCGCGCCAAAGGCTCCTTACATGCCTATATCCCACTCGCTCTACTTCCTGTTGCAAAGTTCGTGCACAGGAGCAAACACATGCGTGGGGTTCTTGCAGACCACTTACTCCACCAATGTATTGACCTTGTTGTTGAGCCATTGAAGCAAGCAGCCTGTCTCGGCATTATGATGAGTGATCCACAGGGATTTAGCAGGTATTGTTTCACCCCCCTTGTTGCTTATGTCGCAGATACTCCAGAGGAGCTTGTCATTGCATGCGCTACGATGAACTCATCGCCTGTCACTATGGCTACCTGCAAAGACTTTGGAGACCCAATCCGACACCCTCCTCGTAATGGATCATCCACCCTCGCCAATATCACAGCCATTATCGCGTCTATCTCACCATCTGATCTTGTTGCATTCTTTGAGGCTTGTAAGTGTTATAATCTAAATGGTGTTGACTTGCCATTCTGGAAAGAATTGGCTGGCTGCCAATCCTTCTTCCTTCCTCACTCCGGAGCTACTTTCACCATCTTCACAAGATGTTCTGGGACCATGTCATATACCATATTCCCGGGTAAAGATCCGAAGATCCGGATCTCAGATCCAATCCAGATCCGATGGACATATCCGTTGTCCGGTCCACAGATCCGATCTAATCCTTATTTCATGTCCTGTTCATATAACTCTAACTATCGTTCATCTCCTTTCGGCATTCCTGTACACCGGTATACTGGTTATTCTTTACTTCCGTTATGCTTACTGATCTGCTACACTTACTGATCCGCTTTAGCTTAGACTTCATTCCCGGTTATGATTTGTTATCCATCTGACTTACCGATATGCTGTACACATACTTTGCTTATACTTCGTACATAGCCTCGCGTCCTTGCTTATTGATCATTCCGTTAGTTATCCGTAGTATATAAACCCTTGTACATGCGCTGTAGTAGATCAGTTCGAATATCATCTTAGATTGCACTCATTCTGTCTGGACTCTAAGTCCATCCGTTATCCATCCGAACTTGAGTACGATACTCTTGTCTACTCCGAGACTTAGGATCGATTCCTATAGTCTATATATCCGTCTCTGTCTTCGGACAGTCCTTGCCCGTTAGTTTCTAGTTCAGATCCGATCCAGATTAGCCGTTACTATATACGTTCAATATCCGGAAGCCTTAACGGATCCGTTACGAGACTTATCCGTCTCAATATACACAATACTCTAGCACTCTGAAATAAGGGGCAAGACTCGGGAAAGGGGCACAGCGCACGAGCTGAGGCCGAAGCCCTTCGGATCCGATACTACTTGAGTACAGTCTTAACAGACCATGACCGTCTCTGGTGCACATTGGTGGTTGGCTCACAAGAAATTGATTTTCGTTTTGCGCTGCTCCAGGTGTGCACTGGTTACCATGCATTTAAGGAAGGGATCTCCACTTTGAAGCAGGCCACAGGACGAGACCATCGCAATGTTCAATGTTACATCATCGGTGTGATTGCTGGTGCTGCCCCTGCTGACTTCGTATCCACTATTCATGCTCTCGCAGAGTTTAGATACCTCGCTCAAGCCCCGCATTTCACCGACAAGCAAGTGGTGGAGTTGGACCGCTGTTTTAAAGCCTTCCACCGGCTCAAACATTCCATTGTTGATGCTGGTGCTCATTGGGGGAAAAGGGGTGAGGATAAGCCATGGGCAATTCCAAAACTTGAGTTGCTGCAGGGGGTAATACCTAGTATTTATTCACATGGTACTGTCATGCAGTGGTCTGCAGACCCCACTGAACATGCACATATCAGGGTTGTGAAGGAGCCATTGAGGGCAGGGAACAATCACGACTACGATGCGCAAGTGTGTCGCCACCTTGATCGTCGCGATAGGGTGGAGCACTTTGACCTCGCACTGCAGATGCGTGCGCAGGAGGATCGTGAAGGTCATGAAAGTGACGAAGACAATGAGGGTGGTCTCGCTCACCATTTTGTCAAGGACTACTTTGCTTGCGCACACGACCTCATTAACAGTGTCCATCCTCAAGCTCCCCGTCCCTATCAAACATTCTCAACCTTGATCAATGCTTACCATCTCAACGATCACCCCACGCTCACGAAAATGACAGTGGATAAGGCTTCTGAACACTTCTCTCTTCCTGACCTTTGTCCCGCAGTCTCTGATCATCTCGACCAGGATGACGCCCATGTTGATCATTTCGTCATTGGTGGCAGGCGCCGTGCGCACCCTGGCTGCCCCCTCCCCTTTGAACGCATTCAAATATGGTGCATGCAGTCAAAATCTTTTCATGACCCTGAACATCTTGAGCCCTCACAAGCACTACATGTTGAACCGCCCTCAAATTCCTGGCCATATGGCCGATATGACTCTGTTATTGTTAGTACAGGCGACATGCACAAGTGGCCAAAAAGTGGCCTAGATGGTATGTTTTTATACCTATACTGTCACACTACTGATCTCGACCAACACAGGACACTTTGTCGCTCACCTTCGTTTAATTTTTCGTCCCATCACACCACTTTCATATTCTCAAACATATCTTGCATATGTCAAACGTTTAGACGTTGTGACTCTCGACGAATCTACGGGTATGTATATCCTCAGGCGTGCTCGACGAGCGAATAACGAAAAAATTGGCGATGTTATCCCAGTCACTCAGATTGTGGCGCCCGTCCATCTCATCCCGCATTTTGGTCGAAAAGCTGATCCGCGATTAACGATGCAAAGCAGTATTAACCATACCACAGAGTTTTACTTGAATAAGTTCTGGAACAAAGAGCTGTTCTTTGCGCTTCATGTGACTGGTAGATAGACAGATAGGGGGGTATTAACTATTTCAGATTGATGGGGTTTTTTTTTCATTGGCCAGCCCATCGTGAGAGTCGATGGCATAGCGCCCAAACTTTGAACTATGTAGGCTTGCATGTCAGATCCGTTGCTTTGTACCTACCACAATGTATAATGGCTGCAGTCTTTGGAGACCTTGTTGGAGGCCCATACTATTATACTCGCAACTCCAGAGGCAAAACTCCTGTGTCTGATATGAAGAGTGAACCGAGTTCGGGCATGCCCGTCTTATCCACGACATCGTGGATCTCTAGCAGATCAAGACGACGTGGCACTAAGACAGAGACCCTGCGTCCTGCGGATGTAACTTGTATGCTAATAGATTGCTTACTCTCAGCATAGATTGCTTATTTTACAAATCTATAGACAAACCATCGAATACTTCAACAGTGGCGGCAGAGACTGAAACTCCAACAATCGCAGCCAAGCCCCAAACTGATACTGCAGTCGTGCAACATGATCAGGTTTTGGGCATCACGAATGTCATCACTGCAGAACCAGGTAAGGGTGCTTACCCACTGAGATCAGTTGTTTCTCACAGTTCGCTGCTAGCTGGGTGCCACGAGCAACTCATAGATGCTCTTCAGCAGGTCTGGGTGGAGCCTGTATGCTTTGTCAATGTCTCTCCTGATGATCATGCACGCATTTTGGAGCACATGGACTCTCTGACATTTTCAAACTATCACACAAAGTACGTTGTGTTAATTGTATTTATTTGCATAAACATCGTCTTACATCAACATCATAGGATGTCGTATTTTCCTCGCAGAATGATTCTCATCGTGTATTCTCCGCACCCTGTCCATGAACAACCACAAGCAGATGTCTTTCATCATCTCACAAGCTCTCCACAGCGTTCAGTACAACCGAACGCTCTTGAAGACCTGCGTCTCTTCCAACAGTCGGATCTACTCTCGAAAACATTTTCACCATACCTGACATGCAGGTAACCATGATGCCTACAACCACAATAGCCGCTGAGACCCAACTTCTCTGGATGGTCGAATCCGGATTCACTCAGTCTCGACCTGCCATCATGGCAAAAGTGGGAGATGCTTCTATCGCACGAAGAACTACTTCTTATTCTTATGATCTTGGTCAAAGAAAAAAAAAATTTGCCACCCCCATGGCAGACTCTGATGCTTGGAAGGAGACACGCGAAGAGGGATCGGTGCGGACTTACAGTGCCTTCGCTCCCGCACGCACTGCTGACAAGTTATTCGGGCCTGTGGTAGCATTGGGGCATGAGTGGATTGACATCGAGTCTGTCGAATATTATGTTTGGGTTAAATCTGGAGATCAGTATTGATGTAACCACTGATCCTACGGCACATGGAGTAAGTCTAGTGTTTTGATAATGAGAATATTAGTATGCTGATGTACATTTGCAGACACTATTTCCGGATATTAACATGGGTGATGTCACTGATGCATTGAACCGTGGTATGGATCGTGTGAAGGCCACCATGAGCCACACCCTTGACACTATCGAATGCATGTAAAATCACCGGCATCTTCTCACCCCCCACGCTCACATTCGATTGGGAGCTCGACAAGTCCTTCATGTCAGTGGCCGTTTATCAAACCACCCACTTCCGCTACTGCAATTGGTACCATCGCCAATTCTCTGGCACGAAGCGTCGTCGTGGACAATCCTACCATAGACGCAAGTACCAGGCCCTCAATCAGGAGAGCATTATCCTCTGGACATGTCCAGGTGTGGACAATCCAGAGAATGCTGAACCCTCAATCAGCCGCATATCCATCTCTAATGCTAGCGATGAGACTACTTCCTCCTCAGAACTGGCCACGTCTGGAACCGAGTCTTCCTCTGAGCCAAGTGATGATTCGGATGTGTAGGTCTCAGTGAGGGGGATGAAACTTAACCTTTGAATTCGTGCTCTCTCTGTAGATGTATATGTTTCACCACTTACTACTGTTCTTGTAGGCCCTGCCTTCTGTTGGCATCGTTTGTTTTGTTGTACCTACATACTATACTCTAGCACCATTGTTCTGCCGCACTCCATTCACGGAGTTTCAAATGTGTAGCACTACTAGCCTGTGAAATGAACACATTATGACAGTGTTCGTGTTCACATTCAATTTTTCGATGGGTAAACGCAAGACCGTAGTAGCAGCTGATCTTGGTAAGTATACTAATTTCTATCTAACAAAACTGATATGTAGTACTGTAGAAGACCTACATCGCTCTAAGCGAAGTAACATTGGTCAAGGTGGACACCTTGGCCAGCTTCAAAAGATGGAATGTTCACAGATGAAACGACAGCAGCCAGTGAAGGAAAACCCTGCCCAGGACATGCTGAACAGCCAGCCTGTAAATTTTATGGCGCCAGAGGCACCCAGACCCAAACCAAGGGCAAGACCAATCAAGGCGATATCAGGCGACAAGAACGCAAAATCGAGCAACAAGAAGACCGAGAGTCCTTCAAGCTCCAGCTTACCGCGGGATGAAGGCGTGTCATGGAGGACAGACCTATTTTACATTCCCGTGGTGTCGACTCAAGGTTTGGCTTTGTCCCACCTTCACTTATGGCTATGACTCCCAAACGCAATTATAGCGGTGCTCTGTCTAGGTTTGCTCATACATCCTCCCAGCCCAACACCCCCAGAACACACCCTCACTGGTGCCAATTCATGGAAACGTGACAATCCGTTGTCCTGCATGATTTGGGAATCATGCATGGACATGACTACTAGGTATCCCCCTAAAGACAAAGTCTGTTAGCTTAGTCCTCAGACTAGTCAACCCATACCTTGGTATCAAACCTTGGTCCAATAGTTTCAGTTTTCCCTCAGTGATTCATGAATCCACCATGTTTTGAAGAAAAGTCATATGTGAGATGGGAATCACATAATGACCTAGTTGATATGAGAAGCAAAAATGAAGGTTAAGGTATTGCCTTTCATTTGGCTTATTCACTTTGGCTAGAGAAACCCATAGAGAAAAGTTCAAAGCCTAACAAAAACCTATCTAAAAAGCCCGCGTATTGTGTACTATTATTTGTTCCATTATTTCTGAGTTGTTTTCTCTAGTGTTTCTTTACTTTACTTTTCTATTAGGATGCTCTGACTAATCAGATGCTTCATAAAATTGTACCTACAGGGTATGATGTCATAATGATGTCATAGGACTTCACCTACACTCCTGCAGGTATTTTGGTTGAAAGATATGATATCATAGTGATGTCATAATGATGTCATGTTCCATGGAATTTGCTAGAACATTCCAATGACTCATAATGACTCATAGTGACTCATAGTGACTCAGAATGATGTCATAATCCCACTATGAATATTCTGGAATGTTCTTTTGCACCTCCTAGAACATTCTGCTCCAGTTTTTGGAATATTCTTCTCACATTCTGAAGTCATTACATCACCTTTTTACTTACATGATATTCCCACACAAATGTATATAAGGAGAGCCCATTCTCCCCCAAAAAAATAGATCTCCCACTTGTTGCATTCAAGAATCTCCCACTTGAGCAAATTGAACTCTCACCTAAGAAGCTTCAGTCTGAACAAATTGCTGCTTACAAAGCCCATTTCCTTTGTAAGAACTGTCCAGACAAGTGCAGGGAAAGTGTTTCCCTTGAGATTACGTAAGTTTCTTGTGATAGAAACCCAGTTTTGTGAGACCAGTGTTCTCACCACGTAGTGTTTACTGACCAACACGAGCTTTGGTCACCGTTGTTATTTGTGAGACCAGCATTCTCACCAGGTATTTGTATACTGACCAACACGAGCTTTGGTCATTGTTGTTATTTGTCATTGTTTTTTTTTATTTGTCATTGTTGTTATTTGTGAGACCAGCGTTCTCACCAGGTATTTGTATATTGACCAACACGAGCTTTGGTCCACGTAGTCACATTTGAGACCAGCTTCTCAACAGTTAACCGTATATTCAGGAAACCAGTTCAAGTGTCTAGACGGTATATCCTAGACAATCCCATAGTTTCAATCAGAGATAATAAAGCTCCGGCTAAGTTAATCTGACTGATTGGTTTAGCGAGCCTCCCAAGAACTCACACGTTATCTACCACGAAAGAAGAAAAGTCGTAGACCGTGTTAATCAAGGACTGGCAAGAAGTCTTATCCAGTGTAATTGTGGTGTCATTACATTCTTACACGTATTTATATAAGACCCTCGGTTATTAAGACACCGTGTTCTGATTCATATTCCTGACACTAGTTGTGCTATAGCAGCGTCCAAACCTGTCCCTCCTGAATGCACCTTTCACTGGTGCTCATTTGCGCAAAACACAATATCCACGCTCTCACTCTGGTTGTACACAACTGGTTCCCAACTAATCCTCCCTCAACATACCACCACTAGTGACAACAATCTGCCTACTGACCTGGACTCTGATGCAAATGCTGATTACATTCGTCCATCCTGAATGGATGTTTCAGACGCTGAGGCTCCTCTATATGGAGATGAGGGCTATGATGCCAGGAAGAGATCATGATGTGGACGCTAACGGTTCTGATGTGGACGC